TTTTGTGCAGGGCCACAATTTGTTGAAGTATTTTCTGGAGGTTCGAGACCCCCACAAATATTACACTTTTTGGAGATTTAAGACCCCCACAAATGTTGTATTATTTGTGGGGATTTAGTAACCTCCACAATATATTTGACTTTCTGTCACTCATAGACCTCCACAACATTTATCACTTCCTGGAGGACATAGACCTCCACAATTTGTTTATTATATTTAAAAAAAAATAAAAAATGAGCTACGAGAAATGATTTTATTTGAATAATAAAAGACAACCTTCTCAAGTATAAATTTATTTATTATTTGAAAAAAATTCAAGCCACACTTAAAATTTACTTATCCCAAAATGAATCTCATCAACAATAATTTATTTCGAAAACCAAACAAATTATCCAAACAAATTATCCATACAGGCAACAACCATTAGCAGTTTCAGCAGCAATGTGACCGGAACAAGTGATCACACAGAACGTAACTCCAAGGCCAAGAAAGGTGTAAATGAACCTGATTGCAAAAAAATAAAAAAATAAGCAATTCGTTCACAATCTAACCATACAGATCAGAAGAACTTGATAATTTTACAAAAAAGGAGCATACATGCAGGAAATACTGAGTCGTGAGAACAAACAACGATTTTGTTCAAACATAGAAAGCATACAAATTTTAGGTGCCAATGCAGTATAACTCTCAAAATGAAGATATCCTAAACCAGCACCCCTGCTCAAACAATCCAGCTTATACATAACTCCATTAAAATAACCGGTTCTCTTAATTCAATCAATAGCTTGGAAGTGAATAGAATGCAAATTAGGAATTCAATAGCTTTATCATGTCAAACATAAATTCCCAATAAACAATTCTCTTTTACGCTATTAATTCCTTTGGTTTCTAAAATATGATCTTTCATTAAACAAATTAATAACAAAAGCAATAAAAATCTATTAATCTCAGAAAATCAAATCAAATTTTATTTATTTATTTATTTTAATTTTTTCTCTTCTACTTAACAACTTTCGCATCCAGGATCTTCACATCTTATTTTCACGGGTAAATCAAAGTCCAAAATTTTCTCATCCATCGCACAAGGGTAAAAAAGGGGCTAGGAAACAAAAAAAAAGAAAAAAACGAGGAGATACTTATAAATATTCTGCTAATACTCGAGATAGTTCCCAAATACAGATGTATCAATTGAAAATCAATTGAAAAGGGAAGAGCATGTTGACCAATCTATATTCTCAGTGCTAATTTCCTTTATCTATCATATAAAGAGGTCAACTATAGATCTTTTTCAATAAAGAGGTCATTTATACATGTTTTTTGAAGTAAAGTTATATACTTTAATCAAGTATCAACAAGAGATGTTTGTGCTCATGCCTGTCCTTTCGTAAAAAGACCAGATGGAGGCTAAATGAGGTTGACATTCAAGATCATAGCAGCCATGTAATCACGAGAGAATCGATGGCAACAATAGTTTTATTTTTTTATAGAACTAGGGACCCCCCCCCCCCTCCAAAACCAAAAAAATGAGCATCTTCTTTTCCTTTCAACAATGAGGAAAGCACCTTCTCCAACAAACAATTGAGAACAAACTCGATCTCTAATTGTCATAAGCATCTCACCTCACCTTCTCCAACAAAAAATGAGCATGTTCTTTTGTTTTTGTTTTTACTTTTATACATTGCCGGGAAAAATAATTATAGAACTAAATGTACAAAACTCAGCAGAAGCAAAAAACTATAGGGTCAATTAACACAATACTTGTAATTGGTAATTGTTTCATACTCAATCAAGTTAACTTAAGAGCTATAGATTACATCAGTTCCTAGTTCCTAACATTGAAGAGGAATAGAATGCAAAGAAATTACCATGTGCTCCAAAACCATATCCAGGCCTCGATCTGGTAGTAATGGAGGGATCACCGGCTGGCCTGCCTTGAAGAAAAGCATAGGTGACTTCACAGGGTCAAATTTTGAAGGGGCCCACCACCTATTTATATGAACCATAAATAATCAAATAAATTAAATTAAAATTATCTCAAAAATTAAATCAGAATGGGCTAAACTTACCCATCATGGTAAGGAAGGATGTTCATCTGTCAAATTGACCCATGAATATAACAATCCAAACTGAACCAATTAAATGGACAAGGCATGGAATACCTGAATGGAATTGGTCATGATGTATCTGTCTGCCAATAGAGATATATGTCCCTCGTAGGTAATGCAGAGTCCAAAAAGAATCAAATACTATTAATAAAAAAAGGAATCCAACATAGGGGAGGTTAATATGGAATTTGGCTGGAGTAGTTGAGGAATTTGGTAAATAGTTGCAGACCTAATTTATATAAGTTAAATTTTGGTGTTAGAATAAAACCAAAGAGGAAGAGCAGCCACCCTCCTTTAACCTTATGACCATAATTTTGATGCTATTGATACTGAAAAGGCCTGTTAATAATTTATAATCAATAAAGTGAGGGCTTTAATAGATGCATATTGTAAAACAGAATCCACTTATTAATTATGTGAACAAATGATTGTAAAACAATCAGTTTTATGGACAAGCTCGTTGTTCACATCACTAAGAACTTCATGTCCCTGCCCAACATCAAGGCATGTAATTAGTTATACGATTCCCACACATACTATCCTAAGACTTTTATAAAATAGGGAAACACATTTAACATGTTTCATTATTTTTACAGGTTCCTCGCATCCGTGGTATCTGGGGAGGCAAAGGTCAAGGAAAATCTTTCCAATGCGAACTTGTTTTTGCTAAGATGGGAATGAAGTGAGTTATTGCTAAACTAATACTAACCCCTACTAAAATACCTATACTACCACAGAATGCATCAGTTATATTTATTAGCAATCAATTCATGATTGAAATTGAAAGTCTCTTTTATGCATTAGAACTTAGTACCTAGCAGTTAGCACTCAACAATTGATGTATGTGTCCCCATGATGTTGTAATTACAGCCCAATCATGATGAGTGTTGGAGAGGTGGAAAGTGGAAATGCAGGAGAGCCAACAAAATTGATCAGACATTACAGCAGCAAAGCAATATCAAAATAAAAGACACCTACCAAGATTTTCTACCGTAAGCCCTATTTTCCCCTACCTTCAAAAGTTCCAAAAGCTCAAAACTAAGAAAGAAAACAAGCATAATACAGATGCGTAGAAGAAAAAGAACAAGAATGAAAGGGGATAGGAACTTGCACCTGCTTGCTTGGGGAGTGTACGCTAACCTCCATGGCCATGCTTCTTAATGTACTCAACCAATGCTTCATCTTCTTCAGGAGTCCAAGCTGCCCTCCTCACTCCATGTTTATCAAAACATGGTGCTTTCCCCATCTGCACTACCACCTCATTACCACAATAATAATAATGTCACTACAATAATAATAATAATAATAATAATAATAATAATAATAATAATAATAACAAACCTTTCATACAACCCATCATCATAGGTAAGAAAGAGTGTTGCAGAAGAATGCAGCATTTGCATCAAAGTCAGAAGTTAAAGTATTGGATCAGAGCAACAATCTACGAGTCATGACCAAATAAAACAGAGAACATATTATTGATTAAAGTTTCATAAAAATTGAAGAAAATACCCAAAATCAAGTCACGTTCACAAGCAAAAAAAACACATAGGGGAAGGCACAGCTAAAATTACCAGTTCTATATCAATTCTTAATTCAATCTCATACAACATCTGAGATTCAACACGCCTCGTAGCCTTCCACAAATTATTCCAGATAATGAAGAAGAACAAATTATAAAAGAGAATCCATGAGAAGATATATAGAAGGAACCTTGAACTTCATCTGATGGTAACGAGCGACTGCAGAGAACGATACGCTTCGTGATCTGATCTCATCATCCTCCGATGAATCACCGTCTTTGTTTGTGAGTGAGGAAGAGGAAGACTTATTGGAAGTGCTGGAAACAGAGCTCTCTCTGAAACTCTAACTACTGCTTCTCTCTAGAACCTGATCGTTGGAATCGGAATTGAACCTTCAAAGCAACAAATTCGCAAAAACAAAGAAAAGATCAAAACGAAGATAACAGAGGCAAGAATGAACGAGAGAGTGTGTGAGCTTGTTAAGGTTACTTTGGAGTAGAAAGCGAGGGAGGAGGAGGCATCGTGTGAAGAAGCAGAGAGGATGTAACCATTCGTTCTTTGAAACTTGGGAATTTTATTATCCGTTAAAAAAAGTTATAATGGAAAAAAATTTAAAAACTTTGAGAATACAAATAGTGTGGAGGTCAGAACGTGCTAGAAAATTATAAAAACTTTAAAAAGATGGAAATAAAATGTGGCGTCCTCTGAAAATGCCACTATATACATAATTGTTGGGGGTTTTATAAACCTCCACAAAATAACCTCCACGAATAACATATTTTTTTGTAGTGTAATCACGGATAGATATCCATCAATGATACTAATCCTAATACGACAGCATAGCAACTAGGCCTGGACCCCTATCAGAGGCACTAAAAGCCTATCCACACTATCCACAGGTAACTTACGCTATCTCTCTTACTGTTACGCTGTTACTGTGCGCACACACTCCATTGGCTAACACCGTTATAATATTATGTGCACAATGATCTGCTTGACTCAAGGGTATCTCCTCCATAGATACCTTGAAGAAGACACTAGATCTAATAGTAACATACCAGCTTATTTGACTGGACATCTCTGTTCCAAAGACACAACATTAAGGAATCATGATAATGTAGATAATGGTGATAAAGAAAAATAGTGAAAAAATATGGGAATAGGTAATTATAAAATTATCGTTGATTCTTTATTGTATAATTAAAATTAAAACATGAGAAGATGCATTTTCTGAAACGTACTAAGGACCGCAATTAAAAATATTTAAAATTCAAAATTTGAACTCACGGGGCCGTTGGCTATTTCATGATTTTTCGTTTGTACTAAGTACATAATTCATACAACTTGAATACGTAGGAAAATTGAATTTGTTTCAAGAAAACGTTGGTGACGGACGAAATTTTTTTGTGATGGAAGCTCTGGAAACCATGTAACCCAAACCGAGAAAGAGTACCCAAATTCCCATGTCGAAGGCACGCCTCAGAACTTCCAAATCCATTTCCAAGTGGATGCACGCTTCTTCTAGTTCTGAATTCGCATCACCTTTCGTATGAACAAGTTCTGTTTCCTCTGGAATTGCCTCCAACTTCATCACCTTGTGTTTGTTGTTCCTCGTACTAGGCGTCGCAACCCTCTCTCTGGTTGGCACGTGTCCATCCAAGACAACCTTGAGTTCCATCTCAGAAATCGAAAAGGAGCTTGGAAGCTCAACCTTACAACACTCCAACTTCAAGGTATTGTGATGGTCTTGTGAGTTTAATGGATAATCTGTTGACCTACACATGATAGCAGTGATGAATATCGAAGATTGTTATAGTTGGGTTGGTTCAGGAAAATGAAGGGATCAGAAGGAAATGGTGTTATTTATTTGTTTGTTAATCAGATTTTTTTAGTAACAGTCGGTAAGCGAAACAGCACCAAGTATTTAAGAGCCCCGCCCATAGTTTTGTGGGGTATACTGGGATTCCTTCCATTTGGGGCAAAGTTGAAAATTTTAAGCACACAGATTTGTTATGGATACCAAGTTACGCCGCTCAAAATGACAAACCAACTGTCTTCTATTTCTAGTATTTATTATTAGAAAAAAATAAATATTGTTGAGATATAGTATCATGTCATTTTAAATTTTAATCGTTGATTTTTGTCAATTAATGATTATAATTTATTGAGTCAAACTTATTAATTAATAATAAATTATAATCGTTGATTGACAGAAATCAACGATAACGGTTATAATTTAAAATGATACAAAGTTATCTCCTTTAATAGAACAAATATTATTATTAATTCTTTTCTTTTTTTTGTAAACACAAATATTATTATTATTCTTGTTGTTGTTGTTATTAACTTCGAATTTTTATTTGCTAAAGCTACATTCAATTACCAAAGAAAAACATAAGAACCTGGTAAAAGGAAAACTCATTACATTATTATGTACGAAAAAAACACCACATTAAATACACAAAAAAAGCTCATAAACAATATGATATTATTAGTAGGGGTGAAAGTAAGCACTACTAATATTATTAGTAGTAGGCTGGGCCAAGTTTTGCCTCGAAAAGCTTAAGTCTACGTCAAAAAATTTTAATTTGGCCTGACCTAAGTTTAGTACGAGTTTAACTGTTAGTCTGACTTGACCCGTTTATAAAAAAACAAATGGCCTGGCCTAGCCCGTTAGCCTGCTAATTTTTAACTTCCAAGCAGAACCATGAATCAACTTTACAAAATAATCAAATTTTGTTGTTAAACCAAAAATCATAATTTCAACGTCCAAACAGAATCATGAATCACAACAAAACTCATACAATCTGCATTTAAGTCAATTTCAAAAGCAAAATGCTCAAACTAAATAATATATATTTCATCAAATCTAACAAATAAATACATACAATGTAAATTAAAATAACTACATGAATCCAACAAACACATCATGATACTTGTAGTAAGTATAATATCTCCCAAAAACCTATTAATATATTCATATACACAATCTAACATGCTGAGATGTTGGTTCCTCCTACATAAGAAATAAAGTCAGATTTCTATTAAAATAAAATCGAATATAATTAAGTTATAAATAATTGCAATTGATTAAATTTATATCTTTTATTTTTTCTTTAAGTCATACTTATTATATTTTATTTTATCTAAAATAAGTAGTACAATATAAGCCGGCCTGTAGGCTTATAGGCCAGGCCTTGTGAAAGTGAGCCTGCGGCCTTTTTATTAAACAAGCTTTTTGAAGGCCCAAGTCCGGCCTATTTTACAAAATATACTAGGTCAGGTCTGGCCTGACGTAGGCCGAGCCGTAGGCCCCTGTAGGCCGGCCCGACCCAGTTTCATCCCTAATTATTAGTCATATATTGTAGAGATTTTTATGTACACTTAACCTTTACATTATTTGTATTGAAGAAAAAAACACATTATATACACATAAAAAATCATTGTTTGTATTGAAGAGATTTTTATGTACACTTAACCTTTACATTATTTGTATTCAAGAAAAAAACACATTATATACACATAAAAAATCATTATGATATTATTAATTAGTTAACATATGATTTTCAGTAAATGTGTTTTTATGTATATTATACTAATTAACAAATAATATATTATTAACTTAAAATATAAAAGATGAGAATTTCTTAAGTGTTGTCAGAGTAAGAGATTTATTGTTCTTTTTTTAATATTAGAGTGATTGTAATACACATTCAAATATAAAGAATTCGAAGTTTCTATCATAGTAGGAGCATTAAAATAATTTTTAAAATTATTTATATGATACAAATATTTATGCAATTATCTATCTATCGATCTATATCTAAAATAAAAGTTGTTTCACTAAAATTGTCACAAGGCATTTTTTTACTTTCAATTTTTAAAATTCTTTTAAGTTACATTATTTTGTTTTCATTTATTGACTTTGCATTTTTCTGCATTAAATGCTTCTTGAGTACTTTCATATTTTTCATATTTGTTATTTTTATTTTTATAATCATTTTTTATTTTTAAACAATTAGCAATCAAAGTGTATTAATTTTTATAAAAAAATAGAAAATACATACTTTATTATATGTTTTTATATTTAATGAGAGAAAAAAAATCAGTTAATAAAATTTATTTTAAATACTATTTTTAATTTAATTTATAAATTTACTTCCCTTTAAATTTTATTAAGAGTAGCTGTTACAACAACTAGCTAACTACCGCGTGTCCAGATGATAATAATCATCTCTGATCTTCATTAACTAAAATTTTAAGCAGAAAAATATATATATCACAACATGAAAATTTGAAGAGCTTTTGAAGCTTTAATAGAACAATGAGCTTTAATAGAACAATGAACTTGCACTATATATATATATATACACATATATATATATACATATATAATAGAACAATGAACTTGCATATATATATATATATATATATATATATATATATATATATATATATATATATATATATATATATATATATATATATATATATATATATATATATATATATATATGGGAATAAAATTTCAGCTGTAACTTCAAATAGAAATATCTACTGTGCACCTAAACGACAGCGTTTTCATCTTTTTTAATTTAAACGAATCGTGCTTCCTTCTTCTCTGTTTATCGTGCTATTACGGTTTCGTTCCCCTTCTCTGTTTATTCCCTCATCAACTACTTCCCCTTCTCTGTTTATTCTCTCATCAACTATAGTCATCGCATATCTATTTTTTCAATCGCTTCCTTATTCAAGCCTAGGGTTTTTGTTTGGGGACTCTTCTTCGTCTTTCTGGTATGTGAAATTATAGCGCTCCAATTATAGTTTTTTTGCTACTATTTACTCCTCTTCGTCTTTCTGGTCTGTGAAATTATAGTGCTCCAATTATAGTTTTTTCGCTACTATCTAATCTTATGCGCTGATATATGATTTGGGTGATTGTTGTAATGACCAGTGTTTCTCTCTAGTTAATTACCGAAGAACATGTTATGTGTTTTCTCTTTTGAATTCATGTGCAAAATATCACTCCTGCACTCCTTTTGGGGTCTTGTAAAAGTATCTATCTCAACTTTTACTTAGCTTTTCTTTGGCTTTATTTTGCTAATGTCTAAAATTTAGCGTGAAAATTTTTCTACTTGTTTTGGCCTTAGTTTTCAGTTTTGCAAAACAACGAAAGAATGAGGAATATAAACATTTTTAAATACAAAAACATGAGTAAAAGCATATGATTTTGGCTAGTTACTATAAATTTTTTTTTATCTCATTAATGTTTTCTTTTTTAAAATTCAAGCAAGCAATGTGGGCTCAAAAGTATCATAGAACTTAAATATCAAACCAATAAAAGGTATGATAAAGTAGTTCCCATCATCAGTGAACCGATAAAGATAAGAAAAAGATTTAAGTTAGTATAGCTTAATTGACCGAGTACCAAAAATAAAAAAGGTTCACTAGGAACATTGCCGTTGACCTGTGTTGGAACAACAACCTATGCATTCCGATTGTAGTTTTACTTACCTTGGATAAATGATTAAACAAAAATATAGGTGTAAATGATTCAAAGCAAAAACATTTGGTGGTTTTAAACTCTTCCTTACTTATATTCTCAGATTTTTCTATTATGTTCTTGATACAAACAAGAAACTGGATATATGGATTCATGATTCTTTTCTTTTTTTCATCTTTATAGGCTATTGATGGAAATCTCTCAAATAACAACTATTGAAGACATGAATGAAAGTGTAGTATCTTTAGATGACATTGTTGAATTGGAGAAAGAGAGTGATGAGTTAAGCGAAGATGGTCAATGTGAAATTATGAATCAAGACAAAGATAGTGATCGTATGCAAGACAATTGCCAAGAAATTATGGGAGATGATAGTGAGTTTAATGAGCCTCCTATATTGGGTAGAGTTTTTGAGACAGCTGAAGAAGCCTACGATTTTTATAATGATTTTGCAAAAGTTAAGGGGTTCGGAATACGTAAGCGTTACTTTAACAAGAGTAGAAGAACACAACAACCATGTTTGTGGAATTATGTGTGCTCAAAGCAAGGTGTCAAGAATCTACATGATAAAAGAATTGATGTTAGCAATGTCAAAAGGCGAAGGGATACACGGACTGATTGTTTGGCGATGTTCCAAATAAAGTTGGTGAACGAATTATGGAAAGTAGAGAAGTTCAATGATTCACATAATCATCCATTGATTAACACTCCATCAAAGGTGAACAAGTTTTCTTCTCATAATGATTTACGTCGCTCAGATTTTACTAAATCCATTGTTTCTAAACTTTATGGGGAAGGTTTAACGTCTTCAAAAATATCAAAGGTGGTGAATGCTATGAACAAAGAAGTTAACATCACTCCGGGTCAAATTAGCACTATTATATCAAGCCAGCGTAAGAATAATGTAGGACGAGAATGTCAGGGCATCATCAAACACTTTCAAAAGAAGTTTGCTCACGATGGATGTTTTTATTTTGATATGCAGTTGGCAGAAGATGGTACGTTAAGAAGCGTCTTTTGGGCGGATGGTAGGTCGAGAGCTTCCTATGGTCAATTTGGGGAAGTCCTTGTCTTTGATGTGACTTACAAAACAAACAAGTTCAAGTTTCCTTTTTTCCCCTTTTGTTGGGGTTAATCACCATGGGCAATCAATTTTATTTGCTGCTGCATTGTTAGAGGATGAAACAGAGGCAACCTTTACTTGGTTGTTTGAACAGTTTCAGATATGCATGTTTGATAAGTCTCTTGTTGCTATTATTACTGATCAAGACAAAGCTATGGGGAAAGCAATTGCTAAGATATTTCCAAGAGCACGACATCGTTTCTGTGCATGGCATATCAAAAAGCATGCTTTGGAGCATAGTCAAGCATTACGTGCACAATTTAAAGATAGTTTTGATGTTGACTTTCGTGCATGGTATAAAAGTCGAAGCATAGATGAATTTGAAGACAAATAGGAAACATTAAGAACTAAATATGATATTAAAGCAAGTAGTTGGTTGGCTAACATGTATGCTTCACGTAACCATTGGGCAAAAGCATACTTGAAAGATATTTTTTTTGCTGGAATGACTACAAGAGGCCGAAGTGAGAGCATCAATGCATTTTTTTATGGATATGTCAACTCCAACACAATGTTAAATGACTTTGTTACCCAATATGATAAAGCAATCAAGTCTAGAAGAGATGCAGAAGAAGATGAAGATTTTAAAACTAGAAATACAAAAGCAAATTTGGAGAGTAATCATCCAATTGAAGCAATAGCTGGAGAGCGCTACACAAGAAAAATGTTTGAAATTTTTAAAAAAGAGTGGAGGGCTGCCACACAAGATTACTTTCATGAAAAGATGTCAACAGACGAGCATAATATTAGGTACCGTGTGGGATCTCCCAAAGTTAATAAAGAGTTATGGGCAATTGTTGATTACAATTTCATAGAAAGTTCCACTACTCATTGTTCTTGTGCAAAGTTTGAGACTATGGGGATTTTATGCAAACATATTTTGTACATCTTCAAGAAGAAACAAATGATGACCCTTCCTGAAAAGTATATTTTAACTAGATGGACCATGAATGCAAGCTATAAGGCTGAAAATCTTTTGTCTGTTCATTCTGAAACAACTACTAGTGAAGTAAGTGAATTGTCTTTGTTGTCAACTCAGTCGAAGTGCAATTTGGCTATTTCTGAAGCAAAAGATTGTTTTCATGAAATTAGAAGATTTGATACTATTGTTGATGAATTTATTCAACAACAATTAGAAAGAAAGAGAAAAAGAATTGATGAGGAAACCACAAGCTCAATTGTACCTTCACAAAGTTGTTTCATTCCTTCTCAAGATTCACTTAATTATGTTCGAGACCCCACTCAAGCAGTCAAAACTAAGGGGCGTCCAAAAGTTGCTTCACGTATAAAATCAAGCATTGAGTTAGCAGCCAAACAACAAAAGACTTGCAGTTATTGTCGAGAGAAGGGTCATAATAAGACCAGTTGTAAGAAGAAAATGGTATTTCTCTTATATTTTTCCTATTTATGATTTTGTCTTTCCTCTTTGAACTTGATAAAAAATTTGTGATTTTTCATTTGTAGATGGATGTTGCAAGATAGAAGCAAAAGGAATAAAAGTTTCATTTGAAAGCTGCCCCTGATGAAGATGAAGCTTTGACATGGCTGAATTGTTTTAACATAGTTGAATTGTTTTGTGCATAAGTTAAGCTGTAGATATCTTTTTTGAATAAAAGCAGTGCATTGTAAAGATAACTTAATACAGTTTATTTATGGAAAGTTTTAAAAAAAAAATTTGTATGTAATGTTCCCAGTAGTTCCGCGAAGCAAACTATTTTGCTGAAAGTATTTTGAAATGCATTCCCGATTTTATTTGAAAGTTCAATGGTTTAGGATGGGTTCTTTACTGTTGTCAAAGAGTAATACAAAAGATAAATTTGATAAAACAAACACATGTGATGAAGAACTCACATTGAATAATTATGTACATGGATTCATATTACATTGACACAGATATCCTATAATGACTACTAAAATCCAAGTTACAACTCGTACACAATATCCTATAATGACCCTTCCTACTCATAGTATTCCTTGAAGTCTATGTGAAAGCCTTCTTTTACAGCATCTTCCATGTTGATTACTTTCGTGCCTTTCCTTCTGTCCTATGCAATAAACAGGGTAAGCATTGCCTATGGACAGCAGAGAATTTGCATCTTGCAGCAGCTATTTACAGAGTTTATCACATGCCTAGTGGGATCCGAAGGTGTTCTCTCCACTGTAAGTCATGTAAAGAAAGCCATCATCATCCTTATTTTCCCCATAAATAGCAGACATCAAGGCAGCTGCAACAACAGAGAGATTTAGTACATAAGTATAGACAGGACTACAAATGAGGCTATACTTTTAATTTGAATTGCATATAGTGTTCAATCTTGATGCTATACTTTTAGCAAATGAGGCTACAGCTACTCATTTAGCTTTGTAAGATAAATAGTCAAAAGGGGTTAGCACAGTGAAAGGTTTTTAATGACTCATACCATACCATTGCTGCAGAGGGCAGAGCTAGTTTCATGTTTATGAACACGTAATGTAATGAATGCATTGAAAATCCTTCCCATGTCTGCTTGAACTTCTTTGCATACATAACATAAAAGGCCAACAACATCATTGATATCCACAATGAAATAGAAGCTGCAATTGGTGCACCTGTAAAACTCAGACCTGTCCACTCTATACAGGCCATATGCAAGACCAATATGAACCAACACTAGAACTGCTGAGAGCACAACCAATGGTAATACCACAGATTGTGTCTGGAGAAAACTCATGATATTTTGCAAGATGCTATATGCGAATAATCCTGGACTGTTTTGCACCTCTGATTCTCCTGGTATAAACTCCAAATTATGAAATGTATTTAATCCTTAAAAGATAAAAGTAGTAAAAGAAAGCAAAGCATGCCAAATTAAAGAAGTAAGCATCAAGAGAGTATTAACCAGTAGCTCTGATTCTCCACCATTTTCACATATAGTTTCTTTCACAGCTATTCTTAATTCATCTGTGCAATCATGGGCAAGGCAAAACATTGACAAGAAAAGAAAACCAAAGAAAAAGGGGGGGGGAAGCTATAAGGCATGAAAAAGAAAAGAAAGAACAAGATAAGAAGCGGTAGCTCAGCTTAACAGCAGAACCAGCCAAAAGTATCATATGCAAAATTTGTGTTACATAATGAACATTCTGTAATTGAAAGAAAAACAAACAAAAGTATCTCTATCCATGTCCTGTTGCCAGTATACCAGCATACCTGTATTTTCTCTCTCCTCCCGTTGGTTAAGAGCAATTCCCTTATTGTAAGCCATTCCTTTGACCTAATATCATCGAACCAATTGTTACCACTTACAACTAAATTTAATATGAACAACTTGCTAAGGTGGAAGCTGAAACTAATGAAGGACTTCACAACGTAAATTTAACATATTTATATGGAACCAAGAGATTGTGCCATTTCAACTTATTCAAATAAAGAAAAATAAAGGCCTTCTTCCATTAAAGGCTACTAATCATGATTTATTATCTTGCAAACACTACTAGGCTTATTGATTAATCACTGTATAACTTTATAGACCAATTAATCGAAGAGTAGTGGCATCCAAAGAACCTTCCTGATCTCAAGGCTAACTATATCATTCTGCACAACACAGACTACAATTATAACTTTGACAAAAATTATTCCTTTACTAGAGTTAATTATCCGTGCTTAAAAATAGCAGTATAGTGGTTACAAAGTTAAAACTAAATAACTGAAAAGATAGAAGCTAGAAAGGTCTTGAACAAAGGGATTAGATTTCAGTTTGGCAGCTTCAACCCTCAATAAAAAGAGTCCATCACCAGCAATCCCAAGCTTAATATAAACAGACCAGTTAATACTATCTAAATTACTTTGCTTTAGGACTCCCTTCCTTCTATCAATTTTTCCAATCTTTCTCTTCCTGATTAACAGACCAGACAAGCACCAGAGTTTAACACTTTTGTAAGACTAGATTTCAAATGATTGAGGTCATCTACTCAGCTCTGTATTTGAAATCCAATGTCCATGACGTCAGAAAGAATTTTTGTTTCTTAGTAAGACCTACAAGCATTAGAAGCAATCTCAATTCTCAAATTGCTACTTGACAATGTTTTACGTAGCTAGTTATCTGGGTTCTTACTTTTACCTATTTCGGTTTTCAGGGATTGAATTGAACATTTTTAACTCTAGACTGTTCAATAAGAATATTTAACAATGAAACAAGTAACAACACATTATACATGACTTAAAAATATTCAAAGTTCAAGAATTAATTAAAAAAATAAAAACAAACAAAAGGTGCAATAAATCCAATCAGCATGTGTGTTTTTCACTAACAAGAAACCAGAAAAGTAAATAAAACAAAAGGTAATGAAAGATGATACCAGTGCACGAAACAGACACCGCCCATCACCTGTAACCTTCTGAACTGAAAAACGCTCAAGTTTCTTCATTGCTGGAGACTGTCCACCACTGTCAAGACATGGTGAGGGTCAAGCAAACTCATCAAACTTCTAAACCATTAATAAAGAGTTCAAATTCAATCCAATCTCGATAAAGATACATTTATTTATTTATTTTATAAGCACATTGAATTTAGTAGCATCTTGCTTTTATCTTTCCCTTCCTTAAAAGACACATTCAACCCAAAAGGATAAATTCATGAAACTTTTAACATATAAATTTCCAGTGACCAAAGCTTTGAGGCAAATAGATATACCTTTTTTGTTCCCCAGCAGAATAATAATAGCAATAATAAATAAAAATAGGTTAAAATATATTTATATGAAAAATGTTTTCAGCTTAGTTCTTATATGTACATCGTGGGATTGGCATGAAATTACCGTGAACTATTGGAACCAAATTGAAAATGACTGTCATGCAACTAAAAAAAATAGTATTCCTAGTCCATATTCATGACACTTATTTTATATTTGGTTCCTATATTCTACTGCATTGTAACTCCAATAAATAATCCTATAACAATAATAAACAGCGAGGATCAAATTTAAAACAATTGCGCATATAAGGATTAAGCTAAAAACTTATTTAAAAATAGAGTGACATGCATTGAAATTAAAAGATATACTTTAACCTAAAAAACACAAGCACATACAGGCACAAGAAAGAGAAAAACCAAAAGAAGAAAAGCGAAAACGGAAAACTCACAATGATGACCCAATTCTAGCGAAAAAGAGAGTGCTACAATTCCCAATTCCAAATAAGCTTGTGTTCCGGTTAGGAAGAGCAACAACTGAAGGAACCAGGGAAGAAACAAGCTCAAATTTTGCAGTCCCATTTCTCAGCTGCTGAAGAATATCCTCTGAGGGTCACAAACCAAATCGAATAACAGTTAAGAGGGTGTTCATAATTTTGCGTGAGGTATCTGTTTGTTTGCTGAGAAAGTGACGGAAACGAAGAGAAAAAATTAAAAAATAGAATGAAACAATATAAAGGCAATCGAGAGTTGTGAGGTTACCATTGGAAAGCTTGTTGGCCATGAAATCTGAGGAATTGCAACGGAGTGAAAAGTGAAAACGCAACTACGACTCTAAGGTGAAGGAGATAACTGTGTGAGAGTTGGACATTGTTTTGTTAGTCCAAACTGGAAAAGAAGTGAACATGTTTGGGAATAAAATTTCAGCTGTTACTTCAGATATGCGATGACTGTAGTTGATGAGGGAATAAACAGAGAAGGGGAAGTAGTTGATGAGGGAATAAACAGAGAAGGGGAACGAAACCGTAATAGCACGATAAACAGAGAAGAAGGAAGCACGATTCGTTTAAATTAAAAAAGATGAAAACGCTGTCGTTTAGGTGCACAGTAGATATTTCTATCTGAAGTTACACCTGAAATTTTATTCCTATATATATATATATGGGGAGGGATCATTTGACTCAAGAGTAAGACTTAAAAATCTTACTCTTCATCGCAGCCGTTGATTTCCGTTCATCTAACGCTTATAATTAATTGTTATAATTTATTAAATGATAACCATTAGATAAACGAAAATCAACGGTTGCAATGAGGAGTAAGACTTTTAAATCTTACTCTGGAGTCAAAAGAACCCTCCCCTATATATATATATATATATATATTGCAAGTTCATTGTTCTATTAAAGCTCATTGTTCTATTAAAGCTTCAAAAGCTCTTCAAATTTTCATGTTGTGATATATATATTTTTCTGCTTAAAATTTTAGTTAATGAAGATCAGAGATGATTATTATCATCTGGACACGCGGTAGTTAGCTAGTTGTTGTAACAGCTACTCTTAATAAAATTTAAAGGGAAGTAAATTTATAAATTAAATTAAAAATAGTATTTAAAATAAATTTTATTAACTGATTTTTTTTCTCTCATTAAACATAAAAACATATAATAAAGTATGTATTTTCTATTTTTTTATAAAAATTAATACACTTTGATTGCTAATTGTCTAAAAATAAAAAATGATTATAAATATAAAAATAACAAATATGAAAAATATGAAAGTACTCAAGAAGCATTTAATGCAGAAAAATGCAAAGTCAATAAATGAAAACAAAATAATGTAACTTAAAAGAATTTTAAAAATTGAAAGTAAAAAAATGCCTTGTGACAATTTTAGTGAAACAACTTTTACTTTAGATATAGATCGATAGATAGATAATTGCATAAATATTTGTATCATATAAATAATTTTAAAAAATATTTTAATGCTCCTACTATGATAGAAACTTCGAATTCTTTATATTTGAATGTGTATTACAATCACTCTAATATTAAAAAAAGAACAATAAATTTCTTACTCTGACAACACTTAAGAAATTCTCATCTTTTATATTTTAAGTTAATAATATATTATTTGTTAATTAGTATAATATACATAAAAACACATTTACTGAAAATCATATGTTAACTAATTAATAATATCATAATGATTTTTTATGTGTATATAATGTGTTTTTTCCTTGAATACAAATAATGTAAAGGTTAAGTGTACATAAAAATCTCTTCAATACAAACAATGATTTTTTATGTGTATATAATGTGTTTTTTTCAATACATATATATATTTTGTCATCTCTATCTACGTGCTTCTATACTGCTGAATATGCAGTAGGCGTTTATTTAAAGATTACGTAGACATCCATTCCTGGAGTATTTTTGTATACCATAAATCCTCTCTTAATGGAGAAATTTTTTTGTTTATGGAAATCATGATTTCTAAAATATATGTTAGGAAAATGAATTTCTTAGGAATGTTATAAAAAAGTTGTTTAGTATTCCAAAATATTTTCAGGAACGTTGGCTCAAGTTTTATGATTCTATATTTGATTGATTGTCAATGATAGATGAGAATGTGGGCTGATTTTACAAACCTAACCTTTGAGATTTTTTTTTTTTTATATGCCACAAAATGGTCAAAACATGACGTTGAGGTCGTTGGAGCGAAGCAGCGTGAGACAGAGAGGAACTCAATAAAAAGGAGTCGTGGAAGGGAGGAAAAGAACCCATGATTTTATGAAGCATAATAGCTAGGGCTTTAACAAGAGAGTGTATTTTAGTCATTAAAATATCAAAGCAGGGTTATTTATGTCATATAAATTATGTAAAAAAAAATTCACCAGATGGGAATTCAAGAATACCATTCACCGGGTGGTATTATTTCATGGAATTCTTATTCACAATTTTAATTCTCATAAATCTCATTTTTCTAAGAAAATTTTAAGAATCTTTGTACCAAACGTGGGTAACTAAAATTCCCAATGTAATTTTCATGGGAATTTAAAATTTATCCCTCTACCAAACAACCCTTTAAGTGTTAGAAGATTGATTTTTGTATAAGTCTCATAGCTTCGATCTATTAAGCTTGAACCTTCTCATCTATCATTTATTCTGTGTTTGAACCTTCTCAACCCCAGTCATCGAATTTTTGGAATTTTGATAAACAACTTCATGGTAGTATGATTTGTTAAAAAAGGACACAATTAAACCACTTCCCCCTCCCCCGCTGCCACTGTTGTGGGATGGCATCCCTCAATTAGTGCACAAGCAAGTAGCTTTTCAAGTGGAGCATACCAACTCAACATTTGGAGGTCGGCCTACTATTAGCAAGTCAACCAATACGTAGCAACACAAAAATGCAGAAAATGAGCGATGGAGAGAACAAGACAAACACAACAATTTTTAACGTGGAAAATCTCTAGATTAAAATTCACGGGACCTAGTCCTTCAAAATCTTCCACTATATGAATAGTATGATTATAATAGTTCTTCCCTAATAAGTATTAGATGTACACAGACACGCTTTAGCTCACAAAAGTGATATACAAAGTTCTTCTCTAAAAGAGGTAAATATTCTCAAACTTCTCTCATAGAGGAATATACTAAGTGTCTAATCTCAAGTGTCTCTCACATGCTAACTATTTACAAGTATGTCTCATTGTAACACTTCATTGTACACCGATATATTATCATTACATATGATATTAAATGCAGTTACAATCACAATAGTTAAATCAAAATACACTTAACTTTTTCCTTTTTAAAATATGACGTTTACTACTTAAAACTTTTTCCATATTCATAAACAATTCGAACTGTAATTATAACTCAACTATAATGCGAAATATTTACATAGCTTAACATATCATACAACTTATCATGTGACACTACCATAAGGTTCCCATACACCACATGGCTTCAATAATCGAATATTGGTAGTTAATTACACACTTGTGGTAATCTCACACCAACATCGTCAAAACAAAACGGACAACACTCTATTTGTTTTTCGGACAAATGGGGATGAATCTCGCTACAGTAATCTCAACTTGATAAATAGTTTATTACCATATACATATAGTCTCAATTTATCAAATAGGCATACAACCCCTTCCATCATAAAATGTCCATAATGTTCACAAACATTACATCAATGTCCCAAAATATACAATGTTTACAAAATACATCAATTGGACTTAACTAATACAAAACACATGATCAAGTCCTTAATCATTCAACAACATGAAAGATACAAAGGATAATGATCAAGGGCTAACTCCTCAAATGCTAATACATCAACATATACCAATGTACTACAAAATATCAACATATAATCCTCCAAAAATGCATATCCAAAACATATAATGCTCTACAATCCTACTCAGGCCTCTTGCCCTAAGATGGTAGTAGTACCTAAAATGTGGTTTCCCAAACTCTGGATGAGATAAAAATCTCATAAATCAAGGGTCTTGGATGTTCACTCTACCCAATGGTTCTCTCAATGTGCATATATAATAATAATAGAATAGTAAATCATCCATCATACCATTATCCAATACTCCCTCATAGAGGTCATAATACCATACTCATGGGGATGCCACACACTAACTCATGAAGGTTATATTACAATACCCACTCATGGAGGCCATATTACTATTCTCATGGAAGGTTCTAATCATAATCATTTACTGGCCAGAGAGCATAAATACACATAACATATCATACATATAGATATCATATCCAACCAATGCATGAGCATACTATTACATCCATTATCATAAATCACATTATCCAACCATTTCTCCCAATAGAGCATGGTGGAACACACAAGGGGATTAATCCCAAGATCAAAAGTTTACCTTTCGAAGCTTCACAATCAAGTTTACTTGTAATCGAAGAAAGCTAGTCACCTTCTTCCAATTGTTAATCTTTCAACTCAATGTCCTTTGGCTCCAACCTAGATCATGGATCAATCATAAACCAATACCACATAGGTTACATTTCAAGTGTGAGATACTAATTTCAACACTTTCTTACTTCTTCATAATTTTGAATATGATGACCAAATTGGTTTATTTATATTTTCCTTATGTCATAACATTACATAACACACACATTCATCTTTCTTTTTAACTAAGTCAATGACCTATATTTCACACATTACATTTTAAATGGCATTGGAAATACCTTTGAAGTCTCAAGCATATTTTTTTACAAGTTTTCAACCATAATCACCCTATTTGGCCGAACTATGGTACTAAGAGTGTCTCACATTCACCAAGTTCCCAAATGACCAACAATTTAGTTTATTTAACATCAAGTGATCCAATGACTAGTAACTATCACAAATGTCAAATTATACACTTCAAACACTATTTGAAGACAAGGCCTAAATGGTATCTTAGAGGTTCATTATATGTTCCAGGGTTTAAAAACCTGGCCCGACCATCGACCCGGCCGAGGTCAGGGGTCACGAGGTCACAGGTTCAACCGAGGGGTCACAGAGTCACTATGCTGACCCGATTTTATATATTAAAAAAATAAATATATATATATCCTATATGAAATTATTAAAAAATAAACCACCAATCATCAAAGATTCAAAATATACTTAACATAATTAACCAATTACAACCACAAGTCAATATTACAGAACCTAATTAAAGTATCAAGACACCAAAGTACAAAAATCATATTCTAATGGAGTTAATGAAAAGTAACATCATCAAATTCAGGCTCTCATTGTCTTTCTCCACCATTGCAATCCAAACCTCGAGGAACATTGCTTTCATTTTGGGGTGCATTGGCCATACGAGGTTCATCATCTACATCATCCTCATCTAAATTCAATTAATCTACAATAACATATTCTATGTAAGTTAATAAATAATATAATGTGCTCAAATCATCAAATTAAAAAATAGAATTATAATCATAAAGAAACATACAAATACTATCTATAATT